GACAGCTCAGGGGGCAGGAGTGCATGGAGGGATGGACACTGGGAAGAGGTAACTATGGGGAGGAAGTGGGAGGGGAGCTGTTACACTGGGGTAAACTGTAGTCAATGTCATGAGACAAAGTGTATGTGAATTGATATATGGAAAGGGAATTTGCTCTGTAAATTTTCACTCAAATCATGATTTTGAAAAAAGGAAAGGCCTGTCAATCCATGCCTGTTAAGATTCAACCACGAAAACCCTGTGGGGCAGTTCTGCTCTGTAACACCTGGGGCCGCCAGGGTCAGAATCTACTTGATGGCACGGATTTGGTCTGGTTTACTAATCAGAAGGTTGGTGGTTCAAACCCACCCAGGAACGCCATGGATAAAAGGCCTAACGATGTACTTCCACAAGCTCACAGCCCTTGGAAGCCCCACGGAGCCCAGGTCTCCTCTGACACAAACGGGGCTGCCGTGAGCCCGGAATGACTCAACAGCAACAGGTGTGTCATGTTCCAGCAAGAGGCCCAGGACAGCAAACTCTGACCTCCTCCAGCCTCACAAGGAGGGGACGGAATCACCGTCAGCAGCGCAAGGCTGATGCCTGTGAGGCCAGACATGCCATCCCCCTCCAGCCCTTTACCAGCTCTGACACCAGCCATCCCTCCCATGGCACTCACTACGTCTCTCCTGGGTTCGATGATTCATTGCAGTGGCCACACACAACTCACAGACAACACGGTGATGGGGTTTATTAGGGAAGTAACAGGCTACAATTCAGGTTCAGGAACTCGCTCAGGATATAGCTCTTCGATCAGAACCGTCTCCCCTCTGCTGTGCCTCTCTGCCCTTGGCCTCTCGGCCTGGCCTCTGCCTTGCTTGGGGAAGTGTTACAAAGCTCTTTCAGCTCTGCTGGTAGGTACACCTGGGTCCCCCGACTCCACCAGCAAGCCTCCTGCCCGAGGGCACTCAGCTTTCTTCCTCTGTGGACTGTCAAGCTTGCCGGTCTGTGTCGTGCCTCCTAGTTCCACTGCCGCCGTCCCTCAGCCTGGCATCTCTGCCAGGGAGGTCCAGCACAGGGGTCTTGGATCCAAGGAGGCGCTCCACTCCACCTCTGTCTCTTCTCTCTTAATGGCAGTGACGTCCCCCTTTCTGCCTCAAGGAAGGCTCATTTTAAGCCTGGCGAATTGACAGAAGTAACCTATCCCCACATTAGAGTTCCTTACACCTTACTTGCATGGTCTCACTCAGTCTCATGGCAGGAGTTACAAAGCCACGGCAAGAAGAGCCATACCCAGTAATTCACTGCCCCACAGCGCTCGACTGAATGGGCCTTGCGGCTGGTGGCACCCTTCCGGCGAACGTGTTTGTGTCCTCCCTGAACACAGTGCTGTCTATACCTCCCTTATCACAGTGTCAGAGCAGACAGGCTTGTCCTGAAGCCGCACCTTCCCCTCTGCCCGCTGGGTGCACCAGCGACATTCGGGGGCCTGGCATTTCAGTCCAAAGGCTGGAGCCCAACAGTTAATGCAGTGACCTCAGTGGCAAGGTTGTGGTGTTCAAAAAGAGCCTAACCCCGGCTGGCACTTCCTGCACATGGTCCCGAGCAGGGCCCCTGTCTTGGTGTCTGTCCATCACTGGATGGTCATTGACGCCACACTGAGCCTTTGGTTCCGGGACGTGAGAGGCCTGTGAGGGTGATACCCTCCTTCTCTGGGAAACCAGTCTTCAAGCAGAGCCACCTCCCACTCCAAGGGGCTGTCTGTGCCCCCAAGGTAGCCCTGGTGGTTCTGTTGGGGCCAGAGTTCCAGTCCAGCCCTGGTGGGGAGAGAAGGCAGCTGCTCAAACTGGTAATTTCTCAGGGGATCTCTCCTTGTGAGCTCTACAGGAGGAGCAGCTTGGCCCCAGCCCTCTGCCCCTGCCCTTCTCAGCACAGTGTCCTTGGTGGCACTGATGGTCTCCAGATAGTCTTTGGGGTGACAAGTGACCTCGGACAGGAAGGAAGCAAGCGGCCAGGGAGCAGAGGGCTGGAAGCGAAGGAGAGATGGGGGTGGGAAGAAGCCCCTCCCTGTGAGCAGACCCTGCGTCCCACATATCCCAGGTCATCTCTGGCAGAGGTGAGGGACTCTGGTAGGTGACTCTCGTTGGATCACATGATCCAACAGATCTGCTCTGGATTTGTTTTCTTACTTTTTGGAATGATGTCACTGTTTCTAGTTGTCAAGTAGACACCGGCACACAGCAGCCTTGTATGTAGCACAACGAGTCGTTTCCCTGTCCTGTGCTGTCCTCACAACTGTTGGGGCGTTTGAGCCTGTTGTTGCTGTTGTGTTGTCAGTCCAACTCACAGAGGGTCTTCCTTGTTTTTGTTGACCAAACCCACTTACTGCTATCGAATCGATGCCAACACACAGTGCCCCTAGAGGACAGAGTGGAACTGTCCCACAGGGTCTCCAAGGCTGTCAGTCTTCCCGGAAGCAGAGCCCCAACTACACCCACTGCCATGGAGTCAATTCCCATTCACAGCGCCCCTAGAGGACAGAGTGGAACTGCCCCACGGGGTCTCCAAGGCTGTCAGTCTTTACAGAAGCAGACAGCCTCATCTTCCTCCTCCGGAAAGGGTTCAAACCGTCAGTCTTTTGGTTACCAGCCAAATGCTTTAACCACTATCCCCCCAGAATCCTTACTTTCTCTCACACGAGCTCCTTTCCAACAGTTGGTCTCTCCTAATGGAGTGTCCAAAGTAGGCAAGCCCCAGTCCTGCCATCTTCACTTCTAAGGAACATTCTGACCACACCTCCTCCAGGACTGATTGGCTGGCTTGTTACTCAGCTGCTGCCAGATCAGCCTCGATTCACGGCGCCCTGGAGCCTGACGGGAGGAAGCCGCAGCTGGTCCTGCACCACCCTGTGGTTGGTTATGGACAGGGTTCTCATTGGCTGGTTCCCAGAGGTACATCACCAGGCCTGCCTTCCTAGTCTGTTTCTGTCCAGAAGCCTCACTGGGTCTTGTTCAGCGTGAAAGCCATACACAGGACTCCACTGACAGACAGGTGGTCGCTAAATTTGGAATGAGAAGTGAGTGCAGTTTTTCTTAAGCTGTCGTTGACTGATTTACACACTTTGGACCCTGCCAGCTCCTCAGCTCAGCAAGGTGTGTGGTCACCGTTCAGTAGATCAGACACACTGCTCTGGAGCCAAGGCGTCCAGCTACATGGGCTGCTCTTCCCCCAGCACTTCCTTGTCCACGCATGGCCTCCTCGCTGTCCTTGGGGGCCTTCCTTTGCCAGCCAAGTAACACACCATGGGAAGCTGTGGCGGCTGTGTGGTCCAGCCTCCCTCCTCTGTGGTGGTTCAGGTTCTGTGTCAACTTGGCTGGGCCTGGTTCTGAGTGGCTAGGCAGCTGGAGGTAGTGATTCCCCGTGGTGAGACTGGTCATCACCTCCGTGGTGGAATCTACTGGAACAGCTGAGTAGTGGCCTCAGGGACGTGGTCTGCCCCCAGTATATAAGAAGAAGCATTGATGAGTGAAATAAGTCAGTCACAAAAGGACAAATATTGTATTAGTCCGTTATTGTAAAAGTTAAGGAAAGGTTTATATATTGGAGGACATTTTCTTTGTTGGTTACCAGGGGTGGGAGGGGAGGGGAGGGAATGCTGTTAGATAGATAGAGATAAATATTGATTTGGGTGAAGAGAAGGGCAATAAAAAAAAAAAAAAGAAGAAGAAGCATTGAGAAAGATCTCTGAGCTTTTGGGCACACTTGGATCCTGTAGGTAGCCAAGTCTTCCCTCAGCAGCCTGCCACATTGCCTGCTCATCTTGGGACAGTCTCTGGACTTGAACTAGTGGCCTGCCATGTTGCTTGATACTCTTGG